TTCTCATGTTCTAAAACCATCACCTCTACAGAAGAACCTTCTCATGTTCTAAAACCATCACCTCTACAGAAGAACGTTCTCATGCTCTAAAACCATCACCTCTACAGTAGAACGTCTCTCTCTGTCCACTGAATGTTGAAGGAACATGAAAGTACTCACATCACCGTCGGCGTCTCTCAGACAGGAACACAGAACGTCCTCTGACTGCAGACTGACTTCACTCGCCCCAGTGTCACATCTGGCCACACCCACCAGGGGGCGTGGCCTCAAATACCAACCCGACCTGAAGAGCTGAGGCCTGATGGACCTGAACTAAATACCTGAACATCTGGTGAGATTTAAAAAACCAACAGACACACCCACCTCACACACACACACACACACACACACACACACTCTGTGGCCTCTGACTGAACATGAGTCATTTTAAATGGAGCAGAAATTCTTAAATCCACAACAACTAAGACAGTCATTCATCATTAGCAGACACACACACACACACACACACACGAATGATGAAAAATCTGAAATCATAGTTTTGTGTCAAACTGTGAAACTGCAACAAACTACAGAGTGAAAAACAGAAAACAATTGGAAAATGGAATAAAATAAAATGACAGGAAGTAACACAATACGAAAGTGACAAAAACAGTCAGAACAACAGTCACTGCAGGTGATCTGATTCTGATTAGAATTTATTTACACCACAACAGTCACTGCAGGTGATCTGATTCATAGAATTTATTTACACTGAATAAAATAAAATGACAGGAAGTAACAAGAAGACACAAATATCTGACAAAGACACAGAAAGACTGACAAAAGGAAAAAGACACAAAAATGTACCACAGATTTATCACAAATACGAAAGTGACAAAAACAGTCAGAACAACAGTCACTGCAGGTGATCTGATTCTGATTAGAATTTATTTACACCGTCAGTGGAGAGTGGACAGTCAGTCAGTGAATAATAGCAGAGGAGTGGACGCTGACGGAGTCTGAGGATGGAGACGTCAGTGTGTCCGCTGTGGACCAGCTGCTCTGACAGCGTCAGCTGACCAAGGTGAACGCTGATCACAGGGCTCTCCCATTTCAACAGCACATTTATCATTAAACCACTGCTGCTGAAAAATACAAATATATTCGGATTGTATGAGAGTAAATATAAAGACGTCATCAACGTAGAAAGCAAGTAGAGAAACTGATTCTGTTTCTCTACCTGGAGCAAGACAAAACAGAGAAGATGTGTTCAAGGACATGCAACATTATTATTATTATTAGTAAAAATAACAATAAGTATTATTAATAGTTATAATAAGAATAATAATTGTTGTTATTAATGTGATTATTATTGTTAATATGATCAGTATCAGTAGAACATTTCATCAATTTTCAGTCAGGTTAGTTCAAGAGCGCGACTAACTGCTGCCACCTAATGGACAAATATAGATATGACATGAAAAAAAGCAACAGAAAAATACCAGATCAGTACGGAGAAAAAAAATTAAACGTTTCTAGTGATCACGAGATACTTTCTTGTGCTCATCTCGTGCTTACTAGAAACGTTTTAATTTTTTTCCATGTCCCTTTACGAGCTCCATAGATCAGATCAGGACTATGGGAATATTTAGATGTGTTGATTGACAGTTTAACACCTCCACCCCAAAGTCCACAGAGAACAGCACAAAAGTTTACAGATTGATCCCAGGTGACACCAAAGTCATGTGATCTACAACCGCTGCTCTTGATCTGGAGCTGATGCGTTTAAATATTTTATATTTAAATTTTAAGCGCAGTGACACAAAACTACCACAGAGGGCAGCATTAGACAGGCTAGAGATAGAGCCACTGTGTTTTCATTACAAATTGTAGGTTTTTCTTCTTTGATCAGAACGTTTATCTAGATCGTCTGCTCCGCTGTCTCCAGGTCCAGGACCGTTACAGTGGAGGAGAACCCCGGCCCGTGAAGCTCAGGCCCGTCTTCTCTTCTATCCAGGCGTTGTAGTTGCTGACTTTGGCGTAAACTCCAGGCCTGAACTCTTTGGCACAGCCGTCACCCCAGCTGATGACCCCGAACTGGAAGAGCCTGTCCTGGATCTCACAAACCAGTGGACCTCCAGAGTCTCCCTGCAGGATGGAGGAGAAGCAGGAGCAGGAGCAGGAGGAGGAGGAGGAGCTGATCAAAGTAAGTCGGAGAACTAAAAGGCAAAAAAAGGCCTGTTCAGGTTCTGACATGCAGAATTACCTCACAGGCATCCTGGCTCCAGTCTGGACGAGCAGCACAGAACATGTTCTCCGTGATCAGGTTTCCATAATAATCCTTTTGTCCACACACGTCTTGGGCGAGGAGGTTCACCTGAGCTTCTCTCAGGTACTGGGACTTGTACCACAGACCTGCGGAGAACCAGAGGAACTCATTAAAGTCATTTGTGGTTTGTAGAACCATTTTAATTAAAGGTTTGAAGACTGACTAAAAGCATTAGCTTAACTCCTACAGCTAACGACATTAAAGATTTTAAAACCACATGACTCCTTCTTGGAGACGAGACTCTACACTCCAAGGTTCTCTGTCACAGACACAGGTCCACAGGGAAACAGACAGTGGTCAACTGTGGTCAACTGTCCTTTCTAACTCACCGTGTTTTTCTTTACCAAATCCTGTGATCTCACAGGTGACACCGGGCTGGACCATGTGACCAGGGGGCGGCAAACACACGACCTTTACACTCTGACTCTCCTCTGCACATCTGCCCTGACGAGGCTTCAGCTGCACCAGGGCTGAAACACGTTCCACAAAGTTCAACAGAACAGTGTAGCGCAAACACAGTAGCTAAAGCTATGACCAGCGTTTAGACAGGACTGTAACAGTTAGCCCAGAATGGAGAAAATGTAGCTAAAGTTAGCTAACCAATGTCGTTGTTGAAGTTTCCTTCGCTGTTGTTGAACCTTTCGTGGATGATGATCTTCTTTACCCTAAAGGTCTGCTCAGATGTCGGCTCGCTCTCATTCAGCACTTGTTTCCCCAGAGTGATGTAGAAACGACGCGCTTTGTTTTGGGAACTAAAAACAGAACGAATGTTCAGAAGTAAATAGTTTCTTCTTCTTATTTAGCTTCTTCGGTGGTCCATCAGCGCTGATACCCTTACCCTTCAGGAAAACAGTGGGCTGCGGTGAGCACCCAGCAGCTGGAGATCAGACTCCCGCCGCACCGGAAAACCATCTCTCTGGATTTGCTTCTCCAGAAGATGGCAGCAAACCAAGGGTGAGATTCTATGGTGGCCTTGGTTCCTCCCACGATCTTCATCTGTTTGGGTCTGATTCTCAGGCCACATGTCGTGAACTCTGCAGCTGTTGGGATTAGAACAAATCAAAACAGCGGAATCAGAAACCCTGAGAACAAAAGAGGGATGATGTTCCAAGAACCAGGAACAGATGCTGGTGCGTTGACAGCTGGTTCTCCCTCAGGTTTTCCATAGTTTTCCATCCTGGATCTGTAATGTGAAGCAGTTCAGAAGGTTCCCTGATGACATCAACCTTCTACTGTTGTTCTGGGATTTTCTTGGTCAGACCATGGATCTGCTCAGACCATAGATCTGTGCGGACCATAGATCTGTGCGGACCATGGATCTGTTCAGACCATGGATCTGTTCGGACCATGGATCTACTCAGACAATGGATTGGATTAAATCTGACAATATCAACTTCGTGTCCAGTGTCCTTCATGATGTCTTCAAATGAAGACAATGAGGAGCATCTGCTCTGATGGAACTGTCTGAGGTTGAGAACCCACCTGCTGCTGGTTCTGTTGGTGCCGGTGGAGATGGAGCTGAAGGAACACAACAGTACCAGAACTTGAAACATTCTGGATCAAAGAGAAGTTGTTTTACAATTTTGACTTAGGTTGAAGGACAATAAAGACGATTTACGTAAGACTTGGACACAGCGTGGAATTTCACAGTATTCCCACACCACCTGCTGGTTCTTCCAGACGTAGCACCATGGACGACGGCGGTAGAACAAGTTTCTGAAAGAGACCAAAACAAGTGATTCAATGTCAGTGGTTGGTCAACTGGTGCTTCAGAGTTTTAGATCTGTGCGGAGACTCCCACTGTCGCTCTCTCTCTCTCTCCCTCCCTCCCTCTCTCTCTCTCTCTCTCACCTGCAGTAATGGTATGTCTCTCTCTCTCTCTCTCTCTCTCTCTCTCTCTCCCTCCCTCTCTCCCTCTCTCTCACCTGCAGTAGTTGTGTCTCCCTCCATTGACGTCCGATGTCATGAATCTCTCCCTGGTGTCCACGTCCCATTCCAGACACGTGTGTCCACTCCCTGATGTGGACGTTGTCCCGGCGTAGTACAGTCCAACACCTTCGTAGCACTGTCCAGCTTTAGCTGAAGTCAAACAACAGGTGTCCAGGTCAAATTCAAGGAAAGACGAGGAAGCCTGGAGATCAGGAGGTCAAACCCTGACCTTGTTCACAGTGGGTCCCCTCAAAACCGTCAGGACACAGGCAGAGCATGTGTTCACCAGTGGTCAGTGAGGGGATAGATGAGCCCCCATTCAGACACCCCCCACCTGACCAATGACATCACACACGTCAATAGTTCCAACAGTGAATGTCAGTGCAGCCCCCCCCGCCCTAAATCAAACCTGAATCAAACCTCACCTGATCTTTCCATGGAGGAGGACCAGGAAGACGAGGAAGACCAGGAAGATGAAGATGAGGATAAAATGTCTCTGTTCGTCCTCAACCAGCTCTGGAAATAAAAGACAAACTCTGTCAGTTTTCATCGGGACAAAAGAACAAAAATAAAGATTTTAAAAATGTCCTCAACTGGCTCAGCTGTGGTCAGAGCAGCCAGAGTCAAAACCAGGGCAGCTAGGTTCTTCTTCATGGTCCGCAGCGTTCCGTTCCTACCAGCACGCCTGCACAGGAGCTGGTGATGGGAGTCTCCTCGGGACTGAGCTTTTCTGTGGGAGGAGGAGGAGCAGAGATGTGAGGAAACAGTTGTTTGTGAGTGAGTCAGAGTTGTGGTGAGTCGACTGGAATCTCTTCTTATCAACACTTCATGTTTCATCACAGATTTAAAATCAGTCTTTAAATCAGTGATAAAAATCAGTCACTAGTGAAAACATTTAGTTTTTCTGTCATATTATTGTCATATCATATTATTTGAAGACAGAAAAATTCTAAATAGTAACAGTTCTAAACATTTTTATGTTTATTTTATTCTCATTAATTTTCTTAATTGATTTTTTGTTCGTCTGAAATTAGGGAACAAGTCCACTGAGTGTCGCTGTTCACTCGTCTTCACCAGTTCACGTTTTCAAAATGTTAATTTTGAGAATGTTCTATTTTAAAATTGAACTTTGTTTTTAGACGTTAATTAATGTTGAATTAATTAATGAACATTAATGAATTAATGTTACAGTACAATTCGAACAACTATTTGGACTTTATTTGTGTGAGTAATAAAATAAAAATGAACTCTTATGATGATGAAGATGAATATCTGAGTGTTTCCTCTGTGAATTGCGTCACTGCGATTTCAACACGCTACGCTGATAAAGGTAAACATCTCTACTCTAGAAACCCGGAAGTAACGTCACTTTAATCCTGTTCGGCTCGTGGTGTATTTAAGTGCTGTTTGAAAGCACCGTTAAAAGGAGCAACAAAACTTTAGAAACTGGAATTATTTTAAGTTTTTTCATTTTAGATAACAGTAAAGTTTAACAAAAATAATATGTTATTAAAGATGTGTGGCTTTTTAAATATACACAAACTTGTTATTGACATAAAATAAAATGTTGAATAAATATTGAAGTGAATTCAAAATACTAAACGTAAAAATATACATAATAATAAAAATATTTATAGTAAGTTAGTGTCACGAATTAAACATATGTACGAATGAAGTTGATTTTTGTGTTGAAAATGTGTCGCGTTTTTTGAAAAAAAGAAAGAAAGAAACATATAATATCCTAAATTCTATAAAAGCGGCAAAAGTCATAAACAAATTTGGTTTCTCCGAGTGTCTGTGAAGGGGACATCATCAGCAGAGTCTGTGGATCAGGATCTGAGTCAGAACTGAGTCCGGACCCAAAGAGAGGAATGGGAAACACCGAGTCTAAACTGCGCTTCAGGAAAGCTGTGATCCAGCTGACCACCAGAACACAGGTCAAAGTTCATCTTCACATTTTAACTTTAATTAACGTTAAAGGACGTGCAACCTGCGGCTGCAGCAGGTGGGGGCTGCGTGGACGTGCGCGCGTTCGTGTGTAGATAAAGTTGGTGACAGCTGTCGAAAAAACCCAAAGATAACTTAGAGAGAATTCTTCTATCATCAATTTTTTCCAACAAATTTTATCCGTTTGATTTTACGTTGACTTCAGTTTTTCATCGTGAACGTGTTAGAATAAAACATTTGACCATTCATTTGACTAATTCTTGCCAATGAAATGTAAAAAACGTAAGAATATTATTTTAAATCAGGTTAAATTTATGCTCCGTGACTGGACTGAAATTATCCGTGTAATTGTTACCATGGTTCCTTAAATGCACCAGCTACTAGTGAATATTTTCATTTGTTGTAAACCTGCATGTGAAATAAACAGGCTTCAGTAGCACAGGCCGTGTCGTCTGTAATGTCGGTTGTTCTTTCTCGGTTGTTCTTTCAACAGGGTGTGACGTGTCCGACAGTCGATGATTAGAGGTGAGAGAGGAGGAAAACAAACACAAACAAACCGAGTTAGTTAGTCTGGAAATATCTAAGCATTAACAAAAGAAATATACCAAAACAAATCCAATAAATGTTTGTCCAAATGTAGCTAAAATGATCAAATTAAGACAATCACTATCTTTGAGCTAAATGGCTAATTAAAAAAATAAGTTTTATTATTTACCTTTGCTGAAAATTCAGTAAAAGTTCATAAATAATTCACTAAATGTTAGCGAAAATGTGGCTATAAAACAAAACAAAGTTAGTCCAGACATATCTAATAGTTAGCTCTGTGTTTGTTTTGAAGTTAGCCTGGTAATCGTTAGCTGTGTGTGTTTGTGTTCCTTCTGCCTGCAGCCTGTGGAGGCCTCAGACGACGCCTTCTGGGACCAGTTCTGGGGGGACACGTCCACCACGGTCCAGGACATCTTCGCTCTGGTGCCTGCCGCAGAGATACGAGCTGTTAGGGAGGAGTCGCCGTCCAACCTGGCAACGCTCTGTTACAAGGTGAGGTGGGAGGTCCAGGTTTGGTCCTGGAGATGGGACCAGGTCCTGGAATGTGTGACTCTGTGTTTGTTCTTCTCCCTCTCGGGACAGCCGGGCTCCCATAAAGGTTCCCTCAACGTGGCTGTGTGTGGGTTCTGTTCCAGGCGGTGGAGAAGTTGGTCCAGGCTGCAGACTCCGGCTGTCCCTCACAGAAGGAGCGTCACATGGTCCTGAACTGCACCCGTCTGCTCACTCGAATTCTGCCCTACATCTTTGAAGACGCCGACTGGAGAGGGTTCTTCTGGTCCACGGTGCCTGGTGCTGGAAGAGCTGGGGTAAGGAACCGATGCAGACCAAGGTCCGGGGAGGAAATCAGTGATTTTATTCACAAAGACACCACAGGAGGCAGCAGTGGACCAGCAGTGAACTAAAATCCCAGATGTATGGACTGTACAGTACTACACCCCCAGTGTTCTTTAGGTGGCGCTCTAACAGTGAGTTAAACGGTGAACGTTTATTGGACAGAGATTATTTTGAGTTGAGGTTTTTGTTCAGAGCAGAAACTGATGTTGATGATGACGTTGTCTCTGTGGACCATGGTTCTCTGGTTACCTGGTGCAGAAGACCACGGTCCAAACACTGGCCATATTGTGTGTGTGTGTGTGTGTGTGTGCGTGTGTGTGTGTAAAGGGCCAGATTAGATTTCGTTGAATGAAAGCGTGAGACTGAAGCAGCACTAACAAACTGAGCGTCTGTTCTCTGATCCCAGATCAGCAGAAACCACAGACTTCACATCAGCTTCTTCATGATGAACAACACTTTGATTCATTCACTAATGTTTGGACTTTAAGGTGTCGTAGACTGTGATCTGTAGACCACCCTGTGTTGATCCTCCACTGACTTCACACTCTTAGACTGCCGCCGAAGTCCAAGTGGTATCTCATTCCCCGGTTGACTGTTTCTCAATGGGTGAACATCAATGTAATTATCAAATGACACACGTGTGTCACGTGACCTCTGACCCCTCCCTCTGTGTCCTCCAGCGTCTAGATGACGATGGTGAAGATGAGGCTGAACCTCGACCTCTGGCTGAGTCTCTGCTGTTGGCCGTCTCTGACCTCCTCTTCTGTCCAGACTTTACAGTGCAGCAGGAAAAGAAAAGCAAATCTGTGAGTGTGATGTTTCACTTCACCACTAGAGCCGGTGTAGCTAACTGACTATTAGCCAACAGTCGTAACAGTTCTCCTGGGGATGGCTAATAGTCTCCAAAAACAACACCCTGGTTCAGACACCGCAGCTAATGTTAGCTTCATTCAGCTAACTGTACTCACCGTCCACTCCTCTACTCTGTTCATAAAAGTTCATTGTGTCTTGAGTGTGCCCTCTTGTGGGACAATCGTAAAACAGGCAGGGAAAAAATGGTCCTTACTGTAATCTGGACACATTTTTACCAGTGTTTGACAGGCCGTATCATAAAGCCTAGCTGACACTGTGTGGCCCCGGAGCCTTAGTTTGAACACATCTGCCTGACAAGTGGTGAAGTGCTGTAGACTGTG